ACGGCCCACCCTGCCAGTCTGCCTCTGCACTCGCCAGCTGGTAAAATCTCCTCGCCACGGGCGAACGGGTGAGTGTATTTGTCGAGCCCTGAGTATAACTCCTCAGAGCTCGGAGTTGGAGGAAACCAACAATGTAAGTTTCATGGATCAATCCTGCAAGTTTGTTTCTAACATTGATCAGAGATTGGTCTAAGAGATATTTTCTTGTAGCTTGTATAACTCAACTGACCAAGGAGGAGAAAGACACTCCCCACATTCTCCTCACACACCAGAGCCTAGGGAGGCCCAGGCTAGTAGATTTTGTGTGCTTCAGCCTCACAGGGGACCTCAGGAAGTTGGAACATCAGCATGGACACCCCAATGCTGGCAGAGGAGCCCTGAGCCTTGGGGGCCAGATCCAGGCAAGCCAAGGGCCACATCCAGCCCCGGGGCCTTATGTTTCCCACCTAGGCTGTCAGGGATAGTGACGATGCACACAGGGAGCAGGTAAACAGACTAATGTAGTGTACTTGTGATGGAACTGGAGCTGTCTGTGATGGATGTGTTATGTAATTGTGTGCTTATTGCCAGAGGTTCATTGAATGAGTATGTGGGGTTAATTCACCAACAAGATGTGAGTAAACACTGGGTGGACAATGCTGGAGTTGTTATGCAACCGTCCAACTGGATTCACTAAACAGGTTTCGCCAGGTAGATCTCAGCCCATGTCAGAGGCACAGGGAGCTCAGAGGACGCTTGAGAGTTTAATGACACACACTTCTCAAGGGAGCAAATGTGCCAGAGATGAAGAGGATTTGGGATAAGACAGGTCTACCCGTACTGTTCAATATCTTCATCAATGATGTGGATATTGGGATAGAGAGTACGCTTATTAAGTTTGCAGATGATACCAAACTGGGTGGGGTTGCAACTTCTTTGGAGGATAGGGACATAATTCAAAATGACCTTAGCAAGTTAGAGAAATGGTCAGAGGCAAACAGGATGAGGTTTAATAAAGAGAAATGCAAAGTGCTCCACTTAGGAAGGAACAATCAGTTCCATACATACAAGATGGGAAGCGACTATCTAGGAAGGAGCATGGCGGAAAGGGATCTAGGGGTCATAGTGGACCACAAGTTGAATATGAGTCAACAGTGTGATGCTGTTGCAAAAAAAGCAAATATGATTCTAGGTTGTATCAACAGGTGTGTTGTAAGCAAAACTCGTGAAGTCATTCTGCCGCTCTACTCTGCACTAGTTAGGCCTCAGCTGGAGTACTGTGTCCAGTTCTGGGTGCCACATTTCAAGAAAGATGTGGAGAAATTGGAAAGGGTACAGAGAAGAGCGACAAGAATGATTAAAGGTTTAGAGAACATGACCTATGAAGCCAGGCTTCATGAACTGGGCTTGTTTAGTTTGGAAAAAAGAAGATTAAGGGGGGACATGATAGCGGTTTTCAAATATCTAAAAGGGTGTCACAAGGAGGAAGGAGAAAATTTGTTCCTCTTGGTTTCTGAGGACAGGACAAGGAGTAATGGGCTTAAAGTGCAGCAGAGGAGGTTTAGATTGGACATTAGGAAAAAATTCCTAACTGTCAGGGTGGTCAAATATTGGAATAAATTGCCAAGGGAGGTGGTGGAATCTCCCTCTCTGGAGATATTTAAGAACAGGTTAGATAGACATCTGTCAGGGATGGTGTAGACGGAGCTTGGTCCTGCCTTGAGGGCGGGGGGCTGGACTCGATGACCTCTCGAGGTCCCTTCCAGTCCTATGATTCTATGATTCTACCCAAGCTGTTAGCTCAGACAGATATGCATATAGACTATTTACTGTTTTAAAAACCCATTTCTCCTGTTACACTATGCCCCTACAGTTAAGATTAGACAATACATTGTTTTAAGAAGACTGCTTTGGGTCACACTATTTGCCACTGGTCACAGATTCCAAAGGAAAGAACAGCAGACAGCTGAACCCAGTTGGACCATCTGAGCAATCACAGTTGGTATATTGAATGCTGTAGCATCATAGAATTCTACCCCGGAATGCAAAGGCTCAAGGCCTATGGTCTGGAGGAAGTAAACTCATACAGAGAGGAGCAATAGGTGCAGCTAGCCCTGACCCATGACAATAGTATGTAGATTTGTATGGTGCAGCAATACAAAGCCAATGTAAGTTAAACAAAGAGTTCTCCCCTGCCCCCGCCCCCAGCACTCACAATATGCCAGGGGAACAGTTTCAAATAGCTGCATTTAAAGGCACATTCTCAACATGCAGTCATTAGAGTAGCTTAAAGTTCCATGTTTGTTTTGAATTTGCAGCAGTAGGCTGGGCCACAACTACTCTTAACAAGAAGTTGTCGATCAATGCCCCATAAAAGAAATATTCCAAAAAGGAACAGGTCTTTCTTAACACTCAAAGATGGTTAGATACAGGAGCCCAAGGGAATGGCAGTACAACAAAAATCAGGAACTGATCTTTTGCGCTACAAGAGGCAAATACTTTAGCAAATAGATTAAGATTCAACAGAAACAACAAATGACAAGAGGTGACAGTAATGGCTCGGGGAGCACCAAATCTACCGCAGCAAAATACTACCAAGAGCATGAATGTACTTTGTATGCAGATATGGAACTTCCCAGTGATAACCAAAGCAAATTCTATTGACATCATCACTTGACTTGTTTAGAATTCTTGGGCATTACAGTAAGATTCCATTTATAAACAATGTATTAGGGGCTTATAAATGATGAACAAATATTTTAATAAATGATTTGTAAATTGTTAGAGTCCAACAGAACAATAGATTGCTTATAACCTTATAATCCCTTAACAATGTGCTTATATCCAATTACAGCTAACTTATGTTTATAATATGCTTATAACAGCTGTATTATTTATAAATGGCTTATAAAGTATTGTTATGTGGAGCCTTAATATAACCATAATTCTATCCAGTAATTAATTTTAAACCAGCAACTCCTTCTGTCAAGATGGTAATGCCACCCACCTGTCAGAACCGGAGAGGGGGTAGATATCAGCACCATCCCAGAAGTCTGTGCAGGCCTCAAGAATTATGTCAGCTGTCCCATGAGAAAGCATCTGCTCAGTGCCTAGAAAAAAAACAGGTAGGTGTCTCACGTGTACATTCTCAGCCAAGGGATTCAATGCAATGGCTCATTTGACAACAAAACACTACAATGCAGCCCACAATAAGACAAAATGTCCTGATCTGCCGAGTACACCCGCTGGCCAGGTCCAGAGTGTATCAGCTACTGGACAGAGATTATTCAAGATGAGATGACGCAGGTTTGGCTTCAAGTTAACTGAGCTAGTGGTAAATTATGGACCTGCTAGCCAGTTCCAGTACCTCTCCCCTTACACTGCAATGCTGCTCCTCCAAATCAGGGTATAATCAGGAGTCACAAAATGAAACTAAGCAATGGGAAATGTGAGTTGAATAGCAGGGGATCGTTTATAGTGAAAACCATTTGACTGGAGTCTATCACATTGGAGGCAACATGGTCTAGGCATGGGACTAGGAGTCAGGGATCTGGGGCTCTACTCATTAGCCCAGCAAGTCACTTCACCTGCCTGTGCCTCAGATATAGACACTGACCTTTATAAAGTGCTCTGAGATCTATCGATAAAAAGCAGGAGATGAGAGCTAGGTGTCATTGTCATCACAGAAGAATTTGTGTGATGAATGATTGCTGCTTGGGGCATTTAAAGCAAGGCTGGACAAAAGCTCTAGCAGTGGGTTCCCAAACTTTTCGGCATCACACCCCCTTTTTGATTTTTGACAAACCCTCACCTATCCCCTCCCCCATAGCAAAACTTGTTGAGCACAAAAAACAAAACAAAAAAGCGGGGAACTGACCGGGGCAGCAAAACTTTATGGGGGGAGGGAAGCTGGGTTGCCTTGTGCCCCCCCTGGAATTTCTTCAAGCCCCCAGTTTGGGAACCCATGCTCTAGAAGATGCATTGTAGAAAACAGGAAACACTTAACACACAACGAATAGTCTCATAGCATCTTAAAGACTAACAAAACATGTAGATGGTATCATGAGCTTTCATGAGCACAATCCGGGAGGAGGAGGGGAAAAAAGAAGGGGAGGGAAAAAAAAGAGAGACAGTGAGTAGAGGTTCAAGTAGTTACAAGAGGCTGATAAGAACAATTAGCATCTCCATTCTTTGGTTGGTTGGTTATATCATTAGGACGTGAAAGGTAGTGTGGGAGCCAGCCCACACTTCATCTGAAGAAGTGGGCTGTGCCCACGGAAGTTCATGATATAATCTACACGTTTTGTTAGTCTTTAAGGTGCTACAGGACTATTCGTTTTTTAAGTTTTTCCTGTTACAGACTAACTCAGCTACCCCTCTGAAGCTGTGTAGAGAATAGGGATGTCAGTAGATAACCGTTCAACCAATAAGCTATTGCTAATTAGTTAACTGTCCTGGTTAACCACAACACCCCCTCCTCCCAGCCCACGGATCCGAGTTTTAAATGAAGAGAACGCAGGGGGGGCTGTCAGCCACTCTGCACTGCTGCCTCTGTATGAGAGGCAGCAGCACACAGGGGTCCAAGCCCCCTGCAGACAGAACCTGCTCTGGCATCCCATGGAGCAGCCTCTGTCTGTGGGGAGTGTGGGGTCCCCCGTGGACAGGGGGCGTTGCCACCCCACACTGATGCTCTGTATCTGATTTTTAAATTGGCTTCCCTCTTGGACAGGCTCCCAGCCTGCCACCCCGCGCTGCCACCTTTGATACAGAGGCAGCAGCACAGGATGGCAGGCGGGTCCCCAGGAGTTGGGCCAGGAGTGCACTGGTTGCCAGCCCTGCCCCCAGGGGCCATCAAATAATCATGTAACCACTAAGAATTGTTGCAGGTACACGATTACTAAATTAAATTACTTCTAACATCCCTTGCAGAGAATCACCCCCACTGACCAGGAGAATTCTAATTCTAGGATTCTTGAAAGCTGACCAATAACCTCCAACTCATCCTGCTGGGTTTGGGTGTGTTAGATCATCTTGTGATTTTCACTTATCTGGTAAAAGACCAGGGCATGGGAGGTAGATTAAAAGTCAAGGATGGAGGTCCTGCCTACCCTCCAGCGTTCCTGGCCCTCGTTATCTCACGTGGAAACATTAACATTACATGCACATATCATTCACTGTCAAGGTTAATTCGATTCCCTCCTCCAGCTGCTCAGTGACTCTGCCCCCAATAGCTTCAAAACTGATCTAAAAAAAAAATCACTTCCAAAAAGTAAACGTAAAGACTTCCTGCAGGCATTGCTGCTGAGTGCAGACATTTATGCTAGCCAATGAGGTCAAGAGCCAAGAATATCCATTCAGACAAACCAGGTGGGGACCTTCCTGAACACTAGAGGATTTTCCAAAACATACCAGCTCTCTGCTGTGTACTAAAAATAGACCCCCCACACTGAGTTTATCAGCATAACAAACATCTGAATGCAGCAAGAGCAGAATGTGAAAGAGGGGGCTTGTTAGAGAAACACAATGGACAGCTTGTATGAAGCCTGGGTTAATTTTACTGTAAAAACTTTAAATCCTCCCCATCTTGAATGCATGGTCAGATGGGCTCTGCTGTGAACAAAAGGGCAGGAGATGCGAGCTGAACCCTGCAAAGTCCAAGCCTTATACGCAGAGTAGGAGCTGGGGAGTGAACACGCAGCTGCTGGTGTGCATATGTATTTCTGCTTTCCGTCTCGCATAGACGCTGTTCAGTATCAAGAGCACCTTGCTCAGCCCACCTTACATTCGCTCTGTAAAAGTTAACGCCAGTGACACAGTGCATGTACCATTCCAATCTGCCCACAAAGATGTACAAATCAGATGCCTCGCAGCACAAGGAAACAACTAAAACCCCCCTCGGCTATCAAGATATATTAATAACCTGTCATGGGAACATGACTATTAGCGAACAAGAAGTGGGATCCTTCAAAAATGGCTATGGATGGGTATTAAACACTGTCACTGTTCACTAATTTACATGCATGCCCTGCCAGATTACACTGATTTATAAAGCATGAGACTCCTTACTAGGCTCCTAGCAGCAAGCTAGGTAAAATCCCTGCTCCCACCTGGCATAGCAAGGAGAGGCTGAGGGATTTGGGCTTATTTAGTCTGCAGAAGGGAAGAGTGAGAGGGGATTTGATAGCAGCCTTCAAGTTCCTAAAGGGAGGTCCCAAAGACGATGGAGAGAGGCTGTTCAGTAGTGACGGATCGCAGAACAAGGAGCAATGGTCTCAAGTTACAGTGGGAGAGGTCTAGGTTGGATATTAGGAAAAACTATTTCACTAGGAGGCGGGCGAAGCACTGGAATGGGTTACCTAGGGAGGTGGTGGAATCTCCAGCCCTAGAGGTTTTTAAGTCCCAGCTGGGATGATTTAGTTGGGGTTGGTCCTGCTTTGGGCAGGGGGCTGGACTCGATCACCTGAGGTCTCCTCCAGCCCTACAATACTATGATTCTAGTGAGGGGGGACGACATCCCACAGTGTTCTAGCTGTGGTCATTACTGAATCAAGCTGTTTTCTTGTAGGGCCAGAGATGGGCTAACTGAGCTATAGCGAGTCTGTAAAAGTGAGTCAGACAACTTTTGCATTGGATATGGGCTTGTGTTAAAAAAAAAAAACCTCTTCCTAAATAAGAGGTTCTCAAAAGTAACTCCAACCTCTAGCACTGGTGCAATGAACTAATGAAACTATTGGATGGGTCACTTCACTCCAGGAGCCAGTGAAGCCTTATTCACCCCCAGAAACTGTGGATTTGAAGTGAAAAAAAAAAGTCAAATTAACAGGGACATATTTCACTACACAAGACAAGGGAACTTAGATATGGGCTATGCGCTATTTCTGCTATCTGTCTAACTCTGGTTTCCTTCAAGGACTCATTATGATGTATGGATTCAAAGATTCATTCTAAGATTTTAAAGCAAAAAAGCTCAGTAATTCTTGCACCAAGCTCCGAACTTCTGGTTGACCTACAGCATAATTTTACAAAGCCATACAATCTTGATTTAAAAGCTACAAATGATGAACAATCCACCACATAAGTAAATTATTCTAATGGTTAATTACCCTCACTGTTAAAATTCTGTTTACAATTCACTCTAGACCTCATTAATACAGGCACACACATACACAAGTTGGAGCCCTCTAGGGAAAAAATGAAAATTTGGAGATGAAGTTAAAATGAGGAAAGATTAAAGATGGTTCCCTACATTGAGAATCCCAACAGTCAACTCTGAACAGTGCACTTCAAAGCCTTTGCTATTATTAAGAGAAGATGACAATAACTGGAAAAGACAAAAAAATTCTTCCTACGTCACGGTGTGAGATTAACTGCTGGGCAGAAGGATATAATTTGCTCCCAGGGACTTTCAACTCTGAACTGTATGATTTCATCGGGACATGTCTATACATAGATAAACAAGAAACTCTTCTTGTTCTGCTTTTCCAGTACACAGACACACAAGAGATCATTAATACATTGCATAGAACATTAGCCAGAATCAAATTACAAAGATTGCTCACAATCCTCTTACTCCTAGGCAAGAGCTGGTTGCACATTGAGGTCAGGAAGAAATTCCTCCCAACATGTTAAAGCATTACACAGAGAGTTGCACATAGCTTCTTCTTTAGCAGATGGTATTGGTTGGAGGCAGACATGGGACATGAATCTAGAAGGAGCCTTGGTCTGTTTGGCAATTCCTAGGTTGTTTTTAGTACTTACAAAAAACTCCATTTTTCCTCCTCACCCCCACCCACAACTATATCTAACACTACACCCGAGAGAAGGGAGGCAGGCTTACTGGTGGTGGTGTCCTTAACAAAAAGGCTGATCATGTGACTCAAAGGCGGTCTCCTTTTGGTGATGGAAGACAGTTTTCCCAGTACTGTCTCCTTCACCATCTCATCAGTTGGCAGGCGGTACAGGGCCAAGTGATTCTCCTGCTTGAAAAGCTCTTTGGCACCAGGTGTAAAACCTGAAACATTAAAGTAAAGGGGAGAAGGATTAGACATAACCCAAAACAAAATGAAAGAGACCTCACCTCTGGCTGCAGTCATTCTGATACCTTCCCAGCAGCAGAAAGGCTCAGCCAGCAGCATCCACCAGAAATAGAGCCAGAGCCATTCTGTAGCCTCAGTGTGTGCTAACAGCCAGGCAACTGAGGTTAGGCTTACCTAGCTGACTTGTCTCCAGTCTCATGTGCATACACTTTGAGATCTATGATGAGACGCACCAAGTAAGAGCCAGCTGGTATTATCAGTGGAGTCCTTAGCATTCCTGATTCATTTAAGTGAAGAAGAACTATCAAGAAGAACAAGCATGGGACAAGAGGACAGAAACCCTCATATTCTAATCCTGGCTTTGCCACTGATTCCTTGCATGACCTTGGACAAGTTGTACAAGTTTCCTGTGCCTCCCACTTAAATGGGGACAGTGATACTTAGCTACCTCACACATATTATGAAGTACAAAAGATGTGAAGTGCTACATATTATCTATGGCTTACCACGGCTAGTTTCTCTGTAATACACAAACGATAAGCCTGAAGAGTAGCACTGAAAGACAGCAGAGGAGCAATTCACTCATTCTTATTGGTCTTATTTGTTTGTCTGGAAATGGGTGATAGGAGAGGAATCATGTGAGGATTACTTGTTGTGGTCCCTTCCTCTGGGGCATCTGGTATTGACCACTATCAGTAAACAGGATACTGGGCTAGACAGACCTTTGGTCTGACCCAGTATGGCCATTCTTATGTTCTTATGTCATTCTTTATCCACTGTGGGGCAAAAAGCTCTTCCTCAGCATTGCTGCTGTCCATAACCCTGGAAAAACTCTTAGCTGTATATGTCTCTCAATGACTGCAGCACCATGTCTGAACCTGTCAGCAGCGAACTCTTCAATGACACTAGCAACAAGGCTGATGTCAAACCTCTGGGCACTGACTCAAGAGAAGATCAGAGTCAGATCTAGCTAACAAAGAGGTACCATTCTGATACCCTCCCAGTATTCTGTCAGCTCAGTAAGACTACCATGAAAGCTTGCTCACATTTCTCAGCTGTCTTCTTGTTTGGTTCTTCCTTACCTATTAGCCTGGCGAGCTCACAGAGCCCCCAGGGCACATGGACAGGCAGCACGGCATTGTGGGTCTCCTGGAGGGCAATGTTGCAGAGGTGGTCTGAGAAGCGGCACAGACGCTCTGTCACACTGGTATTGCAGAGGTTGAGCAGCACATTCAAGCCCAGGGGCTTCAGGGAGGTTAGGTGCATCTGCCAGTTGGAGTCGTCAAACTGGATACAGGAAGGGTTCTGCTGGTCCTGGGACAGGCTGAGCATTTCGAGGTGGTAGTCACACACAAAGTCTTCAGCCTCACATGCGAGTCCCTCGCTGTCACCACAAGCCTGATCAGACATGCAAGAAAAACCTGGTTAGTAATAATGGACTGTAATTGCTAGAGATGCTTCAGTTCCCATCACAAGCTCAGGATCTCTTAGCAGATGAGATCATCTTCCCTGTTATTTCTAACTAACAATGGTTGTTATGGAGGAAAATTAAAGGAATATATGGTGGGAAAGTGACTACTGTAAAAGGCACAGGAGCTCTTCCAGAGAGATTAAATTACTTTCTAGTAACACATTTAGCCCCCCCCCCCCACTGAAATCTGTGGGAGTTGTCCCATAAGTTGGAGTATAGTGTAGTGAGGCAGCTGCCCCACTCTGGTCAGATGAGGCAGGTTGGAGAGAGCACTGGCCAATCAAGGAGAGGGTTGTAAGAAGCCAATTGGAGGACAGCTTGCTGGGGCAGCCCTGGTTATAAGGAACTGCTCAGCAGAGCAGCGGGCAGTTGGGTCCTGACCAGGGAATGTGCAGGACTGGTTTCCAGGAGGTACCTTTGAGAAACCAGTGCTGGGTAGTCTCGGGGAAGCTAGAGAGAGTGAGGCCCTAATCTGACACCTGCCAGACTACAGGTCTTGACACAAGGACCAGGGAGGATGCAAAGGGTCGCAGGAGAAGTGGCCCAAGGTATAGGAGGCAGTAGAGGGGGAGAGAAGGAGGGCAGGATAAGGCTCCCACCAGAGGAGTCCTGGGCCAGGACCCAGAGTAGTCAGCAAGCCTGGGTACCCCCCTTCCCTCTTACACTACACCTTGCCATGAGAGAGAGTGGCCTATATAGACTGTAGCTTGTCCCTGCAGTGAGTGGCTAGAATGAGGCTGTAGTTGGCCTCAGTGGCAGACATGAGGCTGTGGACTGCTAATAGCCCCGGATGGGGGAGTGATTGACCAGCGTGGTGGGCAGTGTCCCGAAGAGGACACCGTGGTCCTGGGAGTGACGCAGGCCCAGAGTGAGAATGTGGAGAAAGCGCAGAGCATCAACAGATGAGGCACCAGCCAGAAAGGGGCACCCTGCTGAGAAAAGAGCTAATTCCTGGTGTGACCAGCAGGAGGCGCCGCAACAGAGAGTCTCGACCCTATTACAGGAAGCATGAACAAACTCAGAAGACTAGATCAATCCTACAGTTCTTTCCCTGGTTAAGATGAAAGATGGTTTGAGGGATAGGAATGAAATCTCCTGAGAGGTGGTGGTGTATAACATCCCCTAAATCAGTGGTCCCTAACCATTAGAGGTGTGGCCATTCACCTGCCGGGCAACAGAGGGCGGAGACACTTGTGGGCACCCCCCCAAGCGCCGCGCACCCAGGGCCGGCGCCCCCCCCCCCAAGCGCCGCGCACCCAGGGCC